TGGCTCGAGCTCGGTATTGGATCGAGCCCCCGGTCTTGGTTCAAGCTCGATTCTGCTTTGGGGTATCGATATTCGGGGTGAGTGTTGGTCGGTCTAGGCATCTTCGATAATCTACGAATTGCCTCGTAGTTCGATTTGAATATGGGCTCGAATAATGATACCGAGTCTTGTCGTTGATCGGTCTTATAGCTCGAAGCTCGACGTCCCTACTTCGAACTTCGACCGAGCTTGTCATGCAGATACCCTTTGATCGAAACATCATCGTCTCGACCAGTCTTTATAACTGAGTCAATCGGTTTTGACCGTACACAAGTACCATCTTCAACATAAATAGTGATCTGTTGCTCATTACTAATGTTCTTCCAGAAATATCATATTATTCCATTGTCATTAGAGATATAATTTTGAAATCCCAAGAATTTTTTGTAGCCTTCAATCTTGTTTTTGTCTACCATAGGTTCCATGATTGCTGTAAAGATAATATTGATGATGTCTATAAGCTTTTTCAACCTATGAACACCCCTCTAATATTCCAGAAGATTATACTAATCATGAAACAATTTTAGGGAAGGTATCTGTCTGTTGTCTCCTCTTTTCCAAGGATGTGTTCTGACTTTCTTTTTCTTATTAGGTTGTCTTGCCCTGCTTCTGCCCCTTCCAGTAGGTATGTAATCCTCCTCTTCGAAATTTTTGTCTTCAAGACTGCCTTTTTCTTGTTGCTCAGTATCTCCTTAATTAACATATAATATTCTCTTATTGGCAAAAATATAAAAAATGTGTCCTTTTAAATATTTGATAATATATCTCTCTCTATATATATATATAAAAGAGGGACATGAAAGAGTGATGTGGCATGTCTCAATAGTTAGGAATCATATTTATCTTTTTTCTCCTTTTTTTTGAATTTTTCTCCTACTTTAATTTCTACATCATTAATTAATTGAAAAGGCACCTCCCCACTAATTAAGGTTAATTGAAAAGGCACCTCCCCAAGTCCTTCAATAACAAAATGTTCAAAGAATGCAAAACGTCACCATTAGGGATCGGAAACAATCGTTCCTTCCTATATATTAAAAGTCCTTAAATTCACTTGCTATTAAGAAAACGAAAATCCCGAAGGGCCTTCCAATTTTGCATTCTACTTCAAAGTCCAACGAAATCTTTCATAACTGGTGGAATTACTCGTGAGGTGTGTTAATTTTTTATATTCTTATTTTAATCGTTTTCATTTAACTCTTCGTTATTTCTTTTGTATGTAGAAGTTTCTTTATTCTCAACAAAATACGTTCTTCACAATGTCACCGGGCATCAACTGCGTTTCTTTAACTTTTCTACAATGGAGTGCTACTTCGATATGATTTTGGTACATATCTCTTTAATTCTTTCGACTTTTCTAATTACGCGTTACTTTCGAAGAATCAACGTATGTGATTTTTCTTTTTATGATGCACATAATGACTGTGATCATATACATAATGGTTATCAATTTATGATGCAGAGGAAGGATTTTGAAATTACTGATAACTATTATTATGTTTTCATTGTTATTTTGAATGTTTTTTTTTCTATTCGGTATTATTTATTAAGAATTATATATATA